CCCGCGCCGCGCCGCGCTCCTCCGCCCCCGCCTTCCTCCCCTCCTCCTCCTCCTCCCGTTTCTCCTCCCTCCCCAGCGCACAGCTCCGGCCACGCAGCGCACGGAACCCCGGGGGGGGGGGGAGGGGAGGGGCCGGGGGTCCGAGCTGAAGGGGGGTGGAGGGGGGATTGCGCTCATCCCCCAATGGCACGCGGTGACCCCCGGCTGAACCCGAGGGAAGGGCAAAGCCCGGGCTGACCCCTGCCCCCCGTGTGAGCACGGGTGTGTGAGCGTGAGAGCACGTGTGAGTATGTGTGTGTGTATGTATGTGTGCACACGTGTGCTGTAGCATGCAGGTGTACATGTGTGGTTGCTCCTGCAGCGCACACACACACACACACACACACGTGTGCTCTCACACCTGCCTGCACTCCCATAGCACACAGGGCAACATTTCTGCACACGTGTGCAACACCAGAGCGCCCAGCACACACTGCACACGCACAGCACACGGGGGCTGTGCCCACCTGCATGCACTCCAGCACGAGGCTGCTGCTGTGAGCACTCAGAGGGCACGCGGTGCACACGCGTGTGCATCCCTTTGCCATAAGCTGCACATGTATGTGTGCACTCCCTCGCTAAAAGCTGTGCATGGGAGTGAACACACACAGCAGGCTGCACACACACACACGTGTGCACACCTTCTGCACACGCAGCCATTGCTCGTGCTGAGGACAGGAACACACATGCACACACACACAGCTCCCTGCACACACGTGCACAGCGCGGCACGGCAGCTGTGCTCTGCAGGGAGGGGAGGGCAGAGCACTGGAGAGACCCGGTGTGTGTGTGTGTGTGCAGGGCAGTGCTGTTCCATTGCCACCATCCGTGCGGGCTGTGCTGAGCCAGCAGCTCTGCGAACAAAAGCCCCGCGCCGCTCCAACTTCCTGCAGCCAAATGACAAATGTCTGCTGTGAGTCACTGCGCCGAGCGGGGAGGAATGCGGGCGGCCGTGGGGGGCGAGCAGAGCACTGAGCTGCACGGCTGTGTGCAGCACTGCGTGGCCACAGCGCATCCATGTTACATCCGTGATGCACCCATGATGCATCTGTGACACATCGTGGCACTTCCGTGACAGTTCCATGGCACGTTCATGGCACTGGATGGCCACAGTGCATCCACAGCACCGCATGGCCATGGCACAGCATGGCACAGCATGGCACACTATGGCACACTATGGCACATCATGGCACAGCATGGCACATCATGGCACACTATGGCACAGCATGGCACATCATGGCACATCATGGCACACTATGGCACACCGTGGCACACTATGGCACATGATGGCACACCATGGCACACTATGGCACACTATGGCACACCATGGCACACTATGGCACAGCATGGCACACCATGGCACACCATGGCACACTATGGCACACTATGGCACACTATGGCACATCATGGCACAGCATGGCACACTATGGCACACTATGGCACACTATGGCACATCATGGCACACCATGGCACACTATGGCACACTATGGCACACTATGGCACACTATGGCACACTATGGCACACTATGGCACATCATGGCACACCATGGCACATCATGGCACAGCATGGCACACCATGGCACATCATGGCACAGCATGGCACATCATGGCACACCATGGCACACCATGGCACACTATGGCACACCATGGCACACTATGGCACATGATGGCACACTATGGCACACTATGGCACACCACGGCACACACGCTGGCACCGCAGGGCCGCGTCCCACACATCCGCACGGCCGCCACGCCGGGCAGCACTTCCGGCCCCGCTGTGGTGACAACAGGAACAAACACAGATTAAGAAGAAAGAACAGAAAGGAGCAAAGCTCTGAGCAACACCACGCAGCGCCGGGGGAACCACACCAGGGTGGGACCCGGCCCTGTGGGGACGGCGGGACGCGGGCAGGGTCCCCCCACACCACCGCCGGAGGGGGATCCCCGTCCCCTCCCCCTACCGCAGCCCCCCTCCCCCGCAGGGCCGTTCCCCCCACACTTCCCCCACACCGCTGACAGTGATGGAGCGCTGTGCCCTTATGCGCCGTCCCCACCGCCCCTTCCCCCCCACCGTGGAGGCCCCCACCGCCCCCATCCGGGCCCCCTCGCTCTCCACCCCGCGGCCCCTGGCCTGCCAGGAGCACGTTTCGCTCATTAATTTTTAAAAATTAATTAATTACGGGGCGCCGTGGGGGAGCGGTGGCGGCGCAGAGGAAACCGGAGCTGGCGGGGTTTGGTGACGGCGCAGCCCCTCAGCACAGGGGGGGATAATGGGGACACAAAGGGGACACCCACCCCACGGGATGGGGGGGGACGGAGGGGTTAAGCTCCCGAGGACGGAGGGGAATGGGAACAGAGGGGATGGATGGAGGGTCCCCAGTGCAGCGCTGGGGGCCACAGCCACCCCAGAGCTCCTCTATGGGGCAGAGGAGGGGACCCCCCCGGCGTGCCGCTGCACTGCAGCTCTGCGCTGACGGCTGCATGCACGAGGGCGTGCGCTCTTGCACACGTGTGTGCAGCACTGCAGGAGCTGAAGCGTGCATGCACGCACACCGCCAGCTCTGCAGCAAATGCAGAGCGCTCCAAAGGCAACGGGGGGCTCCCGCAGCCTGGTCGTGGCCCCCGGGATGAGGAGGAGCTGCAGGCAGGGAGGGGCGAACGTGGCCCCCAGTGCCACAGAGGGCAAAGGATAAAGAGGCTGGGAGGGGGGAAGGGGGGGGGGGGGCCACGTGCAGCCACACCACCACCAAACGGGGCGGCACCACGGGGTGGGTGGGGGGCACGAGCAAACCGCGATGAGGAGCAGCCGGTGGCCGGGGGGGCTCCGTGCCCCCCACCCCGGGACCGCGGCCCTCCCCGGCGCCCCGCCGCGACGGGGTCAGAGGGAAACCGAGGCACGGCCGTCCCGGTTCCCAGCGAGGTTGGGGGGGGGGGGAGGATGAAAGGAGGGGAACGGTGCCCCCCCGCCCCGTTCCCACAATTCGGCGCGGCGGGAACGGCCCCCGAGCGAGGCGGGGGAGGCACCGCGCCCGCCGCCACCACCCAGCCGCCCGACTGGTCCCGCTGGGTCCCACCGCGCCGGGGCGGCTCCGGCGGGGGACAGCGCCCGCGGCCCGGCCCTGCCCGGACCTGCCGCGAGCCCCGGGGCTGGGGGGGCCCGGCACGCCCCGACCCAGCGCGGCCTCCCCGACGGCGGGCGCCGCGGGGCATCCGAGCGGCACCGCTCCGCACGGCGCTGCGGGAAGCGAGGCGGGCGGCCCGGCGGACGGAGCGGAGGCGACCCTGCACTGCAGCCCCGTCCCCGGCTGGGCCATCGCTGCGCCCTGCAGACGGCGCCGGGTGCGGGCGAGGCCGCGCACAGCGGCTGCTCACCGTGACGGAGCCGTGCCTCAGTTGACGGTGCCCCCAACCCCGCAGCTCCGTTCTCCCCTCGGCCCTTTCTTTCCCATCACCGCAGCTATTTATAAACCCATCTGCGGGGGGGCGGCTGCGGCCGGGGACACCCCCACACTGCTGTCACCGCTTCCCCATCCCCACAGCACTCACAGCACGCGACAGAAACGTTACCCCACCGGCACGGGGGACTCCAGCGCACCCCCAGCCCGGCCCTATGGCATCGGGACCCCCCATCCCAACCCCCCCCAGGTCCCCATACTCACTGGCAGGCGAGGGCGTGCTGTAGCCGCTGACGGGCAGCTGGTGCTGGATGCCGGGCAGTGAGCTGGGCGGGGAGAGCCCCCCCAGCATGTGGGGGAAGAAGAAGGCGTAGGGGGTGACGGGGTAGCCGTTCAGGTGCCCCCCCCCGGGCGTGGGGCAGGAGCTGCTGTTGCTGGCCATGGCGGGGCCTCCGGCTCTGGAGGGCACTCAGGCGGGGGGCGCGGGGGCCGAGCAGAGCATGGGGCTGTCCTGGCACGGAGCGGCTTCGGGGGCTGCAAGGGGAGCAGAGAGAAGGGGGTTAAAGTGGGGCAACGAACCCAGAGCTGCCCCGTGCCTCAGTTTCCCCACCCCAAAGCCCGGGGGGGGGGCACAGCGGTGCCCGGCGCTGCCCCATAGATTAGCGCAATCCCCCGATTAGCGGCACCACTGCGGGCACTGCGCTCATCCCGGCTTAGCGGCCCGGGGGGGGCAGGGGGGGCACAACGCGGGACACCCCCGGGCCTCACACCTGAATCCCACGGCACGGGGACGGATCCCACCGGGTGACCTCGGGGGGGGGGCGGGGGGGGGGCGCGGGGTTCCCCGAGGACGTCCCACATCACCGCGGCTGCGTGCACCGATCGCGACGGGGCTCAGCTGCGGGCACGGCCAGAGCGCTGCGCCCCACGCGGGGGGGCGGCGCTGGGGAGGGGGCCGCGGGTTTCACAACGGGGCCCGGCTGTTTATTTAAGCGCTGGCGCGGGGCCCGGCGGGGGATGTTTATTTGCCGAGCGCTGGCTGCGGCCCCGCGGAGGCGGAAAAGGATCCCGAGGAACAAGGCTGGGCCGCCCGGGGAGGGGCACGGCGCTGCGCGACCCCCAGAAGGCACCCTGGACCCCATCGCTGCGGGGGTGCAGCGGCCCCACGGTGGGCACTCGGGAGGGGAGGGGGCGGCTCCGGGCGCCCCAGCTGGAGCTGCAGCGCTGCCCCAGGGCACCGAGGTGGGAACGGTCCCCAGAGGGACCCCGGTGCCAGCCCAGCGCGGGGGCTGCCAGTCCCCCCCCCCCCCCCCCCCACTGCATTACCCGGGGGGGGCGGGAGGCGCGGGAAGAACTGTTTATGTTCGCGGGTGCCAAGTGCAGCCGGGCGCCGTGCCAACCGCGCGGGGCCACTCAACGCCTGCCGGCCCCCCCGCCGCAGGGCCGGGACGCAGCACGGACACCGCCCGCCCGGGGCCGCCGCGCGTCTGTCCCAACCCGGGGCGCTTCGGGGCCCCTCGGCGCCCCACGGGGCTGCACAGCGGTGGGGGGGGCGCGCGGCGGAGGATGGGGCCGCAGACCCCGTGTGTGCAGCTGCCCCCGAACGGGGGCTCCCGGGCGCCCGGCCCCGCGCTCGGCTCCCGCAGGGGCCGTACGCGGTGGCAGCCCGTGCCCCCCCCCTCCTCCGGCGCCTTTTCCTCCAGTCCCCCCGGCAGAGCTGGACGGGGCGCGCAGCTTCCTGGAATCCGGCGCCGCGTTCCAACCCCGCGCGGAGCGGCCAAGTCCGGCCCCGCGTCCTCCGCCCAGACCGGGGGCGGCCCAGGGGAGCGGGCGGACGGACGGACGGACACGCGGAGCCCGGCCAGGCCGCACCTCGGGCTCAGCGCCGCCCCAGCGCGAGGCCCGGACCCCCCCGGCGCTGCGCCGCTCCCGTGGCACCGCGGGGTTCCGCTCGCCGCCCCGCAGCCCCGAACCCGCGGCGCTTCCTGCCGCGCGATGGCAGCGCCGGATGTGACACGGAGCGGTGGGGCCGCCGCCCTGCGCGTCTGTGTGTCCCCGCTGCCCCCGCCGACTCCCCCCAGGTTCCGCGGGGGCACCGGGGCCGTGCCCCCCCCCCTCGCTGCCCCCCCCGGCACTGCCCGGCACGCCCGCGCCCGCAGCTTCCCCTCGCCGCTCTCGATTCCCAGGACGCGCGGTTTCGGTTCGGTTCGGCCCCGTGTCCTCGCGTCCCCTGTGACACTGCCGGCCCCCCAGCACCCCCCGCCCTCCGTAACCCCGCGCAGAGGACGCCGCCACCCGCACCCCACGCGCACACCGCCGTGACGGCCGCCCCGCCGCGCAGGGGCAATGAGCGACGTGGGGGACGTGGGCGCGGTGCCCCCCGTGGCACACGGCCCCTGCCCCCCCTTTCCCATCCCCCCCCCCGGGCAGAGCAGGAAGCGCCCCATAGCCGCCGTGCGGCCGCAGCCCGCGGTTTCCTCGCTGCTGTCAGCGCTGGGGCAGCCTCGCACGCGAGCGGCACGCAGCCCCTCGGCCCCCGGCAGCGCCCCCCGGCTGGAGGGACCCCCTCCCCACATCCCCACGTCCCCGCGGCCGTGAGTCACCGTCACGTTTCTCACGTCCCCGGGCAGCCGTGATTCACACCGCGCCCCGCGTGCTGCCGGCACAGCGCGGCCGTGAGGTGGGCATCGGGGCCCGGAGCTGCGGGGCAGGGCTGGGGGCCCGGGGCTGAGCCCGCGGCCTCGCTCAGCCCCACGGCACCTGGCGGCACCGCCGCCCCACGGGGACGCGCACCCCCCGGCAGCCGCCCCACGGCGCGGGCGCATCGCCGCAGCACCGCCGGTGCCCGCAGCCGGGCAGGAGCGGCGCGCTGAAATTCCACCTGTCGCAGCCGGGCCGGCTCCGGTTACACCGGGAACAGCGCTCCGGTTACACCGCCGCCGCGCCATTCTTCCCCAGGAACAGCTGCCCGGCCCCAGCACGGCCCCCGACCCCGCCACCACCGCTCACGAAACGCGCCGTCCGCTCCCACCACTGTCACGGCCAACCCCTGGGGGGACAGCCCTGTGCGGGTGTCACAGCGCACCATAATGGCACCACGACCTGGACGCTGCCAGGCCGCTCGGGGCTGCTTCGGCAGCACCCACAGGCACGGCGCATCCTTAGGGGGCATCGGCGTGATGGCTGCGGGTACCCGGCCCCGTGCCGTTTGGAGCACGGGGAGCAGCGTGACCCCGCACGGCGCTTCGGTGGATGGACAGCACAGAGGAGCGCGGCACAACGCAGCACGGCACAAAGCGGGGGCACCCAAGGGTGGGACGCGGGCAGCCCAGGTTGGGACGCCGCTCGCCCCGACTCCGGGTGCCGTCACCGCGCCGGGCACCGAGCGCACGCGGCCCCGGCCACGAGCCGCCCCCCGCTGAGCCGCCGGCCGCCGCCGCGCGGAGATTAACCCATTTTCTGTAATCAGCACATGTGGCACCGCTGATACGATCGCGGCCCCCCCGGCACCGCAGCCCCCCCCCCACGCGCCGCACCGCCGTCGGTGACAACGGCAGCGCCGTCGGTGACAACGCCGTGGCGGTGACCCACAAAGGGCCGGGGACGCGGAGCGCAGCTGGGCCCGCGCTGCGAGCGTGGCACGGCGCCGCGGCCCGCGGTTATAAATAGGGCCGGAGGTGAATCCCAGCGCCGCGGGGCAGTGCTGCTATGGGGACACAATGGGGACACGGTGGGGACACCCGGGCAGGACGCGGCACACAGCTGCCGTCCGCTCCGTGCCGCCCATCGGCTGCGGTGGCGCCGCGGAGCCGCCGGCACGAACACGGGAGCGCGGTGTCGCCGCAGCCAAGGGGGTCCCCGCGGCCGTGTCACGCAGCGCCACGCGTGTCCCCGTCCGCCCCAAGGTCACCCCCAAGGGCAGGGCGCGGGGCCGCGTTGACATATGGGTCCGCAGGGCCGCTAAGCCACGGGGCCGTCAGCCGCTAATCCGGCCGGGGCGGCCACGCAGCCGCAGGCAGATGGCACTGCGGGGACAGCGGGACCCCAAAAGGGACGAACCTCCCCCCAGCCCCGCAGCCGGGATCACCGCAACGGGACAACGGGGTCAAAGGTCAAAGATTCGAGGACAGCCAGAGGGGGTTCCCTGCTGTTGGAGGACTCCTGGCTGGGTGGGGGTGTCACAGACAACTCCTGCCCCCCCTCCCCAATCTCAGGGGTCCGTGCAGCACTCAGTACCCACCCCACCCCCCCCCTCCCCCGGCACCGCTGTGTGGAGTTGGCCGGGTCTCAGCCACCCCCTCCGCGGCCCCTGCCTGACTGAAGCATCTGCTGCTGTGTGCCGGAGGGGGGGGGGGGGGGGGAGCAGCCGGACCCCCTCCCCGGCCCCCGCCGCCCACCAGCGCTGTCAGCCGGGCAGAGGGATGGCTTCCTCCGCGGGACCGCCCCCCCCCCACGGCCAGGAAGTGCCGCAGACACCGCGCGCCGCCCCCCCCGGACCCCCACCCGGGGGTGTCCCCCCCCCCCCCCCAACACACACAAACAGCCCCGCGCACCGGCGCTGCCCGACCCACGCAGCCGGGACAGAGGCAGCGCCCTGCAGCCCCCCCCACGACTCCCCCCTAAAAAAGGGGAAGCGGCGGTTGCGTGCCCCCAACCCCCCCGCCTCGGTGCCAGGAGGGCTGTGGCAGGAGGGGGCCCGGGGGGGGGGGGGAGGGGGCCGGCACTCAGAGCCCAGAGCTGGGACTGGGGGCTCAGCACCCACTGCACCCCCCCCTTCCAGCGCCCACAGCGCGGAGGAATGGAACCCCCCAGCCTTGATTCGGATGTGCTATGAGAACGGGGGGAGGTCCCACCCCTGTAGGAGCTGGGGGGGGGGGTCGTGGAGCACCCAATCCAAGAGAAGCCCCCAAATCTTAAAGGGGATAAAAGGGGCTGGGGGGGGGGCGGGGGGGCAGGCAGAAAGGGGGCAAAACCGTCATGAATCCCGGAGGGGTTCCTCAGCATCCTGCACCCACTGAGCTCCCAAATACACTAAGAGGGAGGGGACACCCCCACGCCACCAGCCTTCATTTGGGTGCTGGATGGGAGCCGGGGGGGTGGCACCCATCCGAGGAGGAGCCCCCAGTGCAAAAAAAAAAGAACGAGAAAAGCGAGCGGGTCTGCAACCCCCGGAGCCAGAAAGGGGAAAAGGGGGGGAGACCCGGAGCAGCCCCCCCCCCCCCCATCGTAAAAGAGAAAAATGAGGGAGCAAAACCTTAACGAACCACAGGGGGATCCCGGTGTCGTCCCCCGTCCCCCATTCGAAGCACCCCCTTCTCCGCAAGGAAAACCCCCTTCCCGGGGAGGACCTCTTGATGGGGGGGCACCCAGTGCCGCCGGGGGCGCTGGGGGCGGGGGGTTCAGTCCGGCACGGGGCCGCGGCGGGCAGAACGCAGCGACGCTCCGCGCCCCCCCCACCCCCCCCCCCCCCCCCCCCGGAACACAATGCAGCGGGAGCGGTACCTGCGCGCGGCGCTCACGGCCGGGACGCTCCGGGTAACGGCGGCTGCATGGCGGCGAGCGGCGACCCGAGCGGAGCCGAAGAACGACGGAACGGCGAAAGGGAAGAGCTCAAGGCGAGGAGGCAGCGGCCATCGCGAGTCATGTGCTCGAGGGGGAAACTTTACCCGGGGTTGGGCCGGGCCGGGCCGGGCGGGGCTCAGCCCGGGGCGCAGCGGCGGCGGCGGCGGCGGCGGCGGCGGCGGAGAGAGGGCGGGAGGGCGCGCGCCGCCCCGCCTCCTGCTGGCCCCGCCCACCGCCAGGAGCCACGCCCCCTCCTTGGCCCCGCCCCCGCAGCGCTCTCACTCGCCCCCACTCCCCGGCCCCGCCCCTCCCGCCAATGGGGCGCCGCGGGGGGCGGGGCGGCGCTGCTTGGAGCGCTTTGAAGTCGCGGGAAAGGCGGAAGGGGAGAAAGTGGGTGCGCGCGCCGCGCCCGGGGGGGGGGGCGGCTTAAAGGGGCCGCGCGGGCTTAAAGGGGCCGCGTCTTTGCTGCATTTCCCACCCCCCCCATCCCACCTCCCCTATCCCAGACCCTCCGTTGGGAGGGGTCGGAGCTGCTCCCGGTCGGCTCGCTCAGGGCCTGATGGGGTCGGTTCCCCCCGCGACGGAGGAGGGACCTCGTGGCCTCTCAGAGGGGCGGGGGGTCACCCAGGGGAACGGGGCGAGCGCGGAGGGCGGCTGTACCGCGGCCAGGCCCCTGGGGTACGGCGCTAGAGGGCAGGCGGCAGGGAGGGGGTAGCTGGGACACTGGGAGGGGTCCTGGGGAGCCCTGAGCTGCCTCCGCGGGCTGCAGGGACACGGACAGCTCGCGCTGGGAGCAGCAATGGGGCCTGCAGGAACTACAGTGGGAATTTGGGCTCAGGGATGCATTGAGAGGTAGAAACAGACACACGGACACACGGACAGGCAGATACACGGGCACACAGCACACAGGCACACGAAGACACACGGACATGCGGACACACGGACATGCTTGAATCGTGGGGCTGCTCCCACTACCGGGCTTCAGCAGCCACTGCCACCGCACGCTGCCCGCCCACCCTGCTGGGACAGGGGAGCAGCAGCTGCTGCACGCCCCGCAGCGCCTCAGTTTCCCCGCCGCACACGGCAGCGCTGGGCCGGTCCCACTGCAGCCCCCTCCCCACGCACCGCAGCCAGGCCGGGCCGCCGGCATGCGCTCAGCCCGGAGGAATGCACCAAATCACTGCCAGATGCGCGCGGCCCCCCGCCCGGCTGGGCCCCCCCCCCCCCCCAGCCGCCCCCAACTCTACAGCACCGGGGGGCCACGGCTGGCCCCGTGCCCCTCCGGGATGCGTCCGTGGGGTGGGGGCCGGCGTCCCCATGCGGGGTCACGCGGGGTCGTGCTGTGCCCCTCGTCCCCAGTGCCCATCACGGGCGCAGCGGAGCGGAAGCGGCTGTCAGATGGAATCTGGGTGCCGGCGGTGACAGCGCAGCGGGAGGGGACCGTGCCCGGCCACGTGGCTGCTTATGTAAGGAGAGTGCAAGGGAGGACAGCGAGGCTCTGGGGACACCGGCGAGGGGACACGAGGCCCCCGCCATGCCCGTGGGCACAGACGCAGAGCACCGAGCGGGGGGACGTGGGCGCACAGAGGTGGTGCCTGCGCTGCCCCATGCGGGTGGCACTGCGAGGACAGCCCCAAGAGGTGCCACCGCGGCCTTCTGCTCACATCCCCTGTGCCACCTTCACGCAGTGCCATGGGGGGGCCCACAGCAGCGCGGTGCCACCCGCATCACAGCTGCGTCACTGCGGTCACACGCGGCCA